GTGATGAAAATGATAAGTGCAATTATTAAAAGTGATAAATAAATATGTCAGTGATGAAAATGATAAGTGCAATTACTAAAAGTGATAAATAAATATGCCAATGATGAAAATGATAAGTGCAATTATTAAAAGTGATAAATAAATATGTCAGTGATATAATAACAACAAATCGTATATTTTTGCTATATATCATCAAAAATAATTCATATTATAATGTAATTTTTACATCCATCTAAACGTTACTTCGGAATGAAAAATCAGTGAAATAATCATGGCGTCATAAAAATTTCAAAGTTTTAACAGATTTATGCTAATTTCTATTCCTTCCTTATCAAAATTATCAAAGTTAAGCGTTTTTTTTCTTCTGATATATTAAGTTCAATTTTAATAATCAATCAGTTTTTTTTTCAACAAATGCGCATAAATTCAATTAATCTGCTTCCCTTCTATATTTTTTGTAATTATAAAATTTATATTAATAAATGACATCTATTGATGCAAGCAAAAAAAAAAAAAATACGAAAAATATTAAAAATTTTTTAAACAAAATTAAAATTAAAAATTATAGAACAAAATGAAACTGTAATTTAGTAAATTAATGTGAAATGATTATGATTCCTTCGAATTTATTTTAAATCAAAAACTTTTCGAATAATATTTAAAATATCATTTGTAAATTGTTAATGGAATTTTTTTTTTGAAAATTCCAGAAAATATCCACTATAGAAAATTTTTCCGAAAACATCGTTTATGGGAAATTTCTCATGAAAAATCCCAGAAAAATGTTCCGTGGAAAATTCCAGAAAATACCTTCGTAGAAAATTTCAGAAAATATCTTTCATGGAAAGCTTCAGAAGATATATTACATGAAAAATTCTAGAAATTTTATAAAAGAAGAAGAAATCAATAACCAAAACATAGTAAAACAAAAGGAAATGAAGAGAATGCAAGATTGTAAGAGATGAGAAAGAGGGAAAGGAAAGAGTATTTATGCTTCATAAAGATGAGAAAAAGGATGTAAGAGAGAGAGGAAGAGAGAAAAAGAAAGAGAAAAAGAGCGAGGGAAATAAGTGAATTAATGGAATTTATTAATCATTAAATGAAAATCAAGAAATGGAATTCAAGGAAACATTAAACTTTTGCTTTTTTACAATATTAATAATCGAAAGTGACATAAAATGATTATATTTGCGCAGAAATTTCATATCCTTTTTGAAACAATGTTAGGAAAAGAGAATGATGCGCTATTGTCATCATTATAGGATGTCAGGAAAAGAGAATGATGCGCTATTGTCATCATTATAGGATGTCAGGAAAAGAGAATGATGCGCTATTGTCATCATTATAGGATGTCAGGAAAAGAGAATGATGCGCTATTGTCATCATTATAGGATGTCAGGAAAAGAGAATGATGCGCTATTGTCATCATTATAGGAT